GTTTTTTAACATCCTGTCAGAAGATAGGATACGTCTTAAATTGAATCCTAATGGGTTCAAAACCTGGTGGAACAACACCACAGGCATGAGGCACGAGAAGAGATTCATAGAAGGGCCATCCGCAAAACTTACAATGGAATTACTGAAAGGCAAACGCAACCGGACCAGGATTCTGGTTGGACTCCTGACAGGGCACTGCCACAAGAAAGAAAATGCACCAGTACACACAGAAGAGTCCATGTAGGTGCAGGTTTTTGGAGCTTGGACAGAAAACGCCACAAGCAAGATCCTACACTAAGCAGACGCTGGCAGGGCTATTGAGGTTGTTAACAGCCTGAAGATGGCCAATGAGTTAAAAAACAGGGGAATACAATAGACCTACTTGGATCTTTTATCTCTATCCTAAAGTTGTTGTAGGCCGCCATTAAGCATTTGCACTGCGCCCATTAAAATAAGACTAATGTCGTCCTCCTCATCGTACGGGTTATATAATCTAGCTTCAAAATCTCTGCGCGAGTAAAACCCTTTTCCTTTTCTGGGCTTTACAATTAAATGCACCGTGGCAGGACCTACACAGGCTGTCTTCTACCACTCCTACTCTTAAAGTTTGAACATTGTATGTCCAACCAAAAAGCCTTCAACATTCTTGCGATTCTTCAACTTTCATACACCAGGTCTGTTTATAGCTTATACGAAACATTATTGAGGAAGTACTTAACTTATCTTGACTCTGATATTGTCTTTTGTAAATGTCACTTCAAATTTTGCAGAAGGTAGTTTGTCTAAGCATCGGTGTTTTCTACGGCATCGGGTCAAGGCGAGTAATATTGGACTAGGGATCATATTTTCCAGTTATTACTAGTGCACTCACGCAGTATCCAGTGCTCCTAACTCAGGTTGTTACCTAATATTATATTTTTTACTGCATTACAAGATATTGCCTTATTTCACGCTTTGAATCTCATTTGACTTTCGTTTTTGCGTGACAATGTTTTTTCTTTCATAAATGTCGGTTTCAGAGTTGGGGTTTTCAGACATCCAGAGAGAGCCCAAGTTGATTCTCTCGTGCTCCTTTTTTTGGTACAGTAATTAGTGGTTTTTTGGAAAAATTATATTTGGGAGGCAAAGCATCCATGGCATATTAATAAAATGTTTTGTAGATTTATCGACTAAATTTTTCAGATAATGTTGTCTTGGTTGTTATAAGGGATGTGGACAAATAAAATAGTTTTAACTTTATATCTTTGCCTAGCTTTCGGAACTTTATTGTACTATCTTCAGGGCTTGATTTTTAGTCGAAAGTATATAAACTTAAATTCGTTTATTTTCATATTAATACTGAAAACCTTTCTACTTTTTTCTTCACCTTTTCAACTATGAAATGACTAGACTAGTTTTATATAATATGACAGACAGTAAAAATAAAAATACAAATAAAAACAACAATGGCTGGTGTGTGTTTTTACTGTCTTTGATATTATATAAAACTAGTCTTGTCATTTCATAGTTGAAAAGGTGAAGGAAAATGTAAAAAGGTTTTCGGTGTTAAGAAAAAAATAAAAGAATTTAAGTTTATATACTTTTGAACAGAGACCTTAGGTAGAATGAAGTTCTGAAAGCTAGGAGAAGATTTAAAATTAAAACTATTTTATTTGACCACATCCCTGACAACGACCAAAAGAACATTATCATTAAATTGATATCAGTTTAGTTTCGTTATTATACTCATGTTGCAAACATTGGCAATGATCGGAAACATTTGTTTCCTAATCATATTTTCCTGAGAAATGCCAAGTGGAATGCAAAGAGCATGAATAGTTTTCTGTATTTAAAGAACTCTCTTTAGCAGTAACGAGCTACGGTTGTTTTGTTGTTTTCCTGTTGTTATTTAAGCAGCAGTGGATCCTTAAGTTGAGGATTGTTGAAACGCCAATCTGTTGCCGTTTCAAATCATTGAGAATTCCCGTTTCGAGAGCGTCGAGGAGAATTTTAATCCCGCTCCCGCTAATTGAAACAACTTCATTTGGGAATTAGAGCGGGAGGAGTCTTGCCGGCCAACACGGATAAATAATCCTATTAAATTATCACCAGACGAGTCCAATAATGGAATTGATAGAGGCCCCTGGAATTTATGGTCTCGAGGTCTGTAGACTGGTCGTTTTGGACTGGAAGGGTGGGGCAGTGCCCCCTCAAGCGTACAATCGGATTATCGGAATCGTTCTGCCTTCATTAGACCGCGTTTTATCTCGCCCTATCATAAATCCTCCAGATGAACCTTCGGGATGAAATTTACAAAAATGGTTTCCTGTCGTCGGTATTGACAGGAAAATTTTTTTAAATTTAATTATATAAAATATCTACAATTTTGACTGTTGTAAGTTACGGCACTGCCCTTATCCTATTCGTCTGAGACAATTAATTAACAGCATTTGTAAATTGAAAATTTATTCTTTTAACACAACGAATCTATAACCTACAAAAGAGTTTCTAATGACATTTTCTACGAGGTATGCTGTTTCTTACAAAAGTAAAGGCATTCCTGTCATACTTGAGAGAACTCCAACTACTCATGGGATTTTGTGGACAGATGGTCAGATAGCTTTTTTCCAACAATTTTGATTGAAAATTTAAAGACCAATTTAAACAAGAATCGCTTTCCGAATATCAAAATGCGATGATTAACGACTCGGATACCCCGTTGTACAAAAGCATACAGTATAAACGTACCTCAACGTATTTAGTAAAAATTTTAATTCCGAATTAAATTTTTTATTGTTTCTATTTTTTATGTATAGTTATTTGTTTACTAGTTTTATTCAGTTGGGTCCAGGGCATTATTGCAAATTTTTCATATAGTTCGCGTTAAATCTAAGAATGATTTTACCTTAAAATATATTGAAAGAAAACCCGGCAATACACAAAATAATAAAATGTTAATCATAATAATAGATTATGATTAATACTTATATGTATTGTAGTTTTACATGAGTTTAACAAATACATAAAACAATAACAATGTCGTTAGCCGCAACGGTTAAGGCGTATGGTAAAGATCCTGGGTTCGAATATTGTGGCCCTCCTTTCATTTCAAAAGCACCGGTACCCCGAATGTTGAATGACTTCGGCTGTTGAGAACCCTGGTAAAAAAATAAACTAACAGACTAGGACTTAATCTATTTACATATTAACACAGCAATTGGTTAAACCAGGTACATTGGCAGACGTACCTTTCCGTTTAACACCTGTTCATTATTACGAAAACAATGTTTTTTATGCTTGCATTGACGGTTTTTTAAGTCTTCCGTATTATGAATAAAAATATTTTTTATACATAAAAATGTTTATTTATGTATGAATTATAAAAATTTACAATTGCACTGTATAAAAGAACATAATCACACACAAACATTTGTATTAATGTTTTTCCCTCAAAGGGTAAAATATAGATGTACTTTCAATTTAACAGATGTTCTGACAAATGCAAATATGTTTAAACAAAAATTAAAAAATAACTGAATAAACAAAGAAGGCAGGCTTGATCTTTTTTCGATAACAAATTTTTGGCAAAATTGTAAAGTTATGGGGGTTTAGCTTAGTATAATCAATTAACGCAAACATAAAACCAACAAATAATTTATTGCTTAATAACAAACTAATTGTATAATGATTTAAAAAAGAAATAAATAAAACGAATTTAATACATCTTTTAATAAAGGAAGAATCTATTAATCGCGCAGTGTTATGCTGGAAATGAAGTTTATATATTTTTTATACCTCATACTTTTTTTTGCTTTTTTTCCAACCTACACCATATATATTCTTTACTTTTAAAACAATTTTTTTTTGAAAAAATTCTATAAAAGGTTATGTTTACACGTGGTTACATCAACTCTTTGAGACTCTATGACAGATAAAAATCAATAACACCGAACATAAAAAGCCCAAATCCATTAAAATTGGCTTATGATTTTTCAATAAAGAATGCTTGATCATTCATTACGAAAAAATTGTAGAAAGAAAAAAGAAATGATTTGGAAGGCACTCAGATTGATTTTATATCTATCTTATCATCCATTTAACGCAGTATACTAAAACCAAGACAGTTTTATTTGACGTTATGATGACAAATTCTTCATTTAAATATATATACTTTTTCAAACAATTACGTTAGTGAAACTGAAGAACTGTTTACTCCTGTCCGTTGAAATAGTTTATGTGTTCAGAACATGTATTTAGTTCAAATAGTCATTGGTTTTAACAATTTTTCAAAACTATTTATCCAAACATTTGGTTTCACATGATTCATTGTGGTGAAGAGTTTTAGCGTTAAGCATTGTTCAAGAAAAATCCAAATACTTTTGACGCAGTAGATGTTTGTTTATAACTTTGTACTCACACAATTAAAGTATACAACTGCGAATGTAATGTCCAATTTTGATCAGAATATTCATATCCGTACATTCCCGCAGGTAACAACCGTTAACAGTTTAACACATGGACGCGGACACGCAACTATGTTTTTTCGGAAAATATTTAGACTTCTAAATTGCAACAATTAAAACCAACACGACTGAATCGGTTTTGTTCGAACATGTGGTCAAAAGGAACTCTAAATAAAATTATAAAAACAATCTTTTTGGGAAACTAAGCAACATAAAAACAATACCAAAGTCCTAAAAATTCCGACATGTTTTATACACATATTTATATACACTTAAATTCACACCGATAATTTTTTAATGTAAATAAAGACTAAAATAATTCAATTTTAACGGTTGGTTGGATGTTTTAAGTTTTACATTTTGGAATAATCCGAAATATATTTTTGAAACGTATGTAATAGTATGTAATTCAAATAAATTTAAAATTGTATGAAGGCCATCCGTATGATGCAGAATTTGCAAACATTAAGTTGAGATTATTGCTTTAAAAACTCACCTTGTTTTGAATCAAATAAATAAATTTATCAAGTAATCTAAAAACGTGACATTTTAAAAATGCGCTTAAAAAATACAAATATAATAATAGTTTCCAAGGGAATGGTATTTATTTTTCAAACAACGGATGTTTGACGCGGATGGTTTCAACAACCAAATATTTAAAAATGCTGTTTTCTATATTCCCAAAAACTTAGCTGTAATTTGAAAAAAAAAAAATATTACCTCTTTGGTGGCAACCCGTTTTCCAAAATACAATCCAAACTGTAAATAATTTTACAGTTTATTCTTATAATGTTTAAATACAGTTTGTCTGTGATTAATCTGTTTTTACCGCAATAAACCAATTGTGTTTGTAAAACGTCAAATGGCATCGAGTAGGAAACGGTCGGCCTGGAAATAGTTGTTTACTTACATTTTGTGAACAGCGATATTATGTACATTTAACTTTAGGTAGGTTTTTATTCATGTGATTTTTTATTTTATTTTTGTTTATTTTGATAAAAATGTCAAAGATTAAATGTTAAAAAAAATTCAATTCCAGAAGTTGTTAAAATAGGACAATGGATATACTTATACAAAAATGTCGAATTAAATCAACTTATTTAGTCAAATTTCAGGATAATATTGTAAATAAAAAGAAAATTGGAAAAGAGGGCAGCTGGGCAGTATTCCGAGAGGCGATTCAGTGTTGAGGAGTGCGGTTCTTACCACGACTCGTTTTTACCGGTCGACATTTTTAAACCCCTGCACGTTTACATAACATTTCCATGGCAATGCAAGTTCAAATTAAATTGCAAGTCCTGAAATTTTCACGCAAAATTCTTAAATGTAGTAAAAATTCTTAAAGACACAACACGTAACACAAGCAGACCGGGAAACAGTCATGGCCGAGAGTGACAAATTGAATATCGACACGGTGATAACTCGTCTCCTGGAGGTGAGGGGCGCCCGCCCGGGCAAAACCGTCCAGCTAATGGAAAGCGAAATCCGTGGGCTTTGCCTGAAATCCAGGGAAATCTTCTTGTCACAGCCGATACTCTTGGAATTGGAGGCTCCATTGAAGATCTGCGGCGACACGCACGGTCAGTACTACGACCTTTTGCGTTTATTCGAGTACGGCGGTTTCCCACCGGAAGCGAATTACCTGTTTTTGGGAGACTACGTCGACAGAGGGAAGCAATCCCTGGAGACCATCTGCCTTTTGTTGGCTTACAAGATCAAGTACCCGGAGAACTTCTTTCTCTTGCGAGGAAACCACGAGTGCGCTAGCATCAACCGTATCTACGGGTTTTACGACGAGTGTAAGAGACGGTACAACATCAAACTGTGGAAAACGTTCACGGATTGTTTCAACTGCCTGCCCGTCGCGGCTATAGTGGACGAGAAGATATTTTGTTGTCACGGAGGGCTCAGCCCGGACTTGCAAAGTATGGAACAGATACGTAGAATTATGAGACCGACGGATGTTCCTGACCAGGGTTTGCTTTGTGATTTGTTGTGGTCGGACCCCGATAAAGACACAATGGGTTGGGGCGAGAATGACAGAGGGGTCTCTTTCACGTTTGGTGCAGAAGTTATCGCCAAATTTCTTCATAAACACGACCTCGATCTGATCTGCAGGGCACATCAAGTCGTAGAGGACGGATACGAATTTTTCGCGAAGAGACAGCTGGTCACCGTGTTCTCGGCACCGAATTACTGCGGAGAGTTTGACAACGCAGGCGCCATGATGTCGGTAGACGAAACATTGATGTGTTCATTTCAAATATTGAAACCAGCGGACAAGAGGAAATACACTATCGGAGCGGCGCATTAATAAGGAAGTACCAAATACTAATTGAAAATTATAATTATCAACTGATTCATTCACATTTGGAAACCTCCTTTGTTATATGTACGTACTACATAAGCTTGAATTTCAATAAAATTAGCAAATTCTGTTCAATCATTTTTTAATATAATGCTACTTTTTAATCATTTTTCATTGGTACACAATAAAACGTTACATTTAATGCTTTGTGTATATTTCATTACATCCGTTTAAAAATAGTCAAGTTTTAAAAAGTCCAGTTTGTTTCTATCGAGTGCGTTTGGATAAACTCAATTCCCTACAGACACAACAAAGAAATGTATACAAATAAAATATAATCTATTGTTTTGTTTAAAAAATGATTTTTAAGTCAAAGTAAACAATATGTTACACTGTTACTGCTATTATTTTTATTTATTTAGATTTCTGCTTTTGACTAATTTTTGAAGTATAAATAAATTTTATTTCAATTAACCATAACTTTTTAGCCAGCTATATGAAAATTGTAAATTTCATTACAATCTTTTTTTTTATAAATTCACATTACATTTCATAGATTGGAATGTGCGACAAATAATAGAAAAATCTCTTTACTAGGGGAAACAAATCTTATTTTTTTAACATTTTTCTAAATGTCTGTTTTTTAGTGACCGGTTGTTCAATAATTTGATGAAGTTGTGAGGAGCGATCAGGAATGAAGTATTTTAGAAAAACAACTTTTTCATTCTTGTACTGACGTTTCGAACTATTTTCGCGTCATCATGATTCGTTACCGCGTCCCCGACCTTGTCAAAATCATATAAACACAAATTCACATTTCACAACAATTTCATACGAAACAAATAAGACACCAGGAGGAAAGCACCTCATTTTATGTGAGTATGAAATACTTGGTTCAAAATTTATATTTACATCTTTATATAATTTTTTCTAATCAACATATGCTTTGTAATTCATCCAGGCCCTGAAGATGACCCGAATAAAGGTTGAAACGTGGCAAAAATTGAACGAGCCTTTTTCTAAAATACTTCATTCCTGACTACTCCGTCGTCTTCAACAAATTATTTTTTGTAAATTTTAATTTGCCTATACCACAGTAACATTGATCTCATTGTATCAAATTTTGAGGGTATAAAGTCAGATATATTTAACATATAAAAAATGATCTAATAATAAAAATAATAAAAAAATGCCCTTAATTTATTTTTTATTCATAAAGTGGCAATGATTTAAAAGTCGTTAATCTTAATCAATTGAAAGATACTACTTGGTCAACAGGACCAAGGAAACTAGTGAATCTATTTGTTAATTTTATCCATGAATGCAAGAAAGTGTAAAAATAAATTAATTTTTGTTTCGTTTAAATTATACTTAGGTATTACTGGTAAAATTTAACAAGTTATAACTGAATTGAAAATGTAATGTTGTTTATTCCTTAAAACATACCATATCCATCTGGTAGAAAAATGTATTTACATGCATTGCGGAAACATTGGATTTATGACTTTGATAATGGATAAACAGATAATACAACGAACAACAAAATTACAAAAAACATCAAAGTTCACATCTCAACTTATTCCACTGTTGAAGAACATACTATGATCTGAAAGAAACATTTGATATGTCTTATTTTGTATGTAAACTTTCGTCAAATTGTAAACCTAATAATACATCGCGTAGATAGTTAACTCGTTATCTAAGTTTATTGCTATCAAACTGAATGAGAGAAACTAAAAGGAAATTTTAGCGGCGAACGATCAAATTACGAGGAAGAACGAATTGCGCGTTTAGTGCAACGCTAGAACCGGCTATAGTTGATTAAGTTGATCTCCCTTTCCACGGTTTACCACATATCAGTAATGATGCCGTATCGCCGCGTTGCGACTACGGCCGGAAAAGCACGGTTCTAACAAACTCGCAAACCACTCATAATCATAATGTCCGACTTGAAAGTCATAGGGTTTTTTAAGTATTAAAATAATTTTATTTAAAAAATGTCTGTGCTGGAAATAAAACGCGATCACTGTGTTACTATTTAAACTTAGTAAAAAGAAAAAATCCCAGTGAAATGTTTACATCGGTTCTCACCACAAAACAAATACACAGTTTGAGAACACAAGAACCTGAATATTCTCACATTTCAATTAGTAAATTACAACTTGTAGTTCTATTCTCGGTTCACGCAAGTAATACCATCTCAAGTGAAACTGCTTACATTATTATAAAATAATTTTTATAATACTGTGCGTGTAAAAAAATTCTTGTTAAGTTTGCATATTAATTTCAGCAACTAAATGCTATCATAACGGAAAAATTAATTTGATATTATTATAAAATTCACTAATTTCGTGGTCCGCTTGACCAATTAATACATTACAATTAATTAAGGTCTTTAGTTGAGATGAAAAAAGTCAATGGCACGAGCGGGATTCGGACCCACGATCTTCGGCTCGATACGCCCCTGCTCTACCACTTGAGCCATCGTGACCTCGATCCACTCGGACATCAACTTCCTATCTCAACCCCACCTTATGAGTTTTCCCTCCTTTTTGCCATTTTTCAAATGTCGTGTAATCGGATTGGATTCTCGGCGACAAATGATCCAGGACACGATGGCTCAAGTGGTAGAGCAGCGGCGTATCTAGCCGAAGATTGTGGGTTCGAATCCCGCTCGTGCCATCGACTTTTTTTTTCACTCAACGAAAAACCTTAATTAATTGTCATGTATTGATTCGTCAAGCGGACCATGAAAGTAGTGAATTAATGATTTAAAAATTAAGTACACTTCACTAAAGCTCTCCGTGGAATCCAATCCGATTACACGACATTTGAAGAATGACAAAAAGGAGGGAAAACTCATAAGGTGGGGTTGAGATAGGAAGTTGATGTCCGAGTGGATCGAGGTCACGATGGCTCTAGTGGTAGAGCAGCGGCGTATCTAGCCGAAGATCGTGGGTTCGAATCCCGCTCATGCCATTGACTTTTTTTCATCTCAACTAAAAACCTGAATTAATTGTAATTATTATAAAACACTTTCCTAAAAAAGTGCATTAATTGTTAGCAATTTTATAGTTTTTGATATCCTCGAGCACAACTTACTAGTAACAAAGTCTTACAGCACATTAGTGTTCAATTATTAATCCATCAGAATTAATTAATATTTTATTTAAAGTAATGTAAAATATTGTTAATAATCAGACAAACGGTTATATCAGTATTGTAAATTGGCATGAGTTAGAAAGATTAATTAAATCATAATTGATCGTGTTTATGATTTTTTCAGGAAACTATACTTCAGCCTTATAGCTCTGGAATGTTGCTTTTTTTATTTAATGTGCTTTGAATAGTATATTTTCAATCGTATTTTTGTTTTAGAAAGTAGGCTTTTAATTCGTTCATTTTATTTGTTTTATGTTTTATTAACAAGATGGTTTATGTTTTGTTTTTTGGTAAAACGGTGATTTCTATCTGTTTGTTTCATGATCTGTTTATTTTCTCGGTAAATATAATAATAGAACATAAATAATAACACTAAATGAGAAATTCTAGTCGTGCTGGCCGTTTACTAATTCAAAATGCTTTTATTAAATTATGTTTTCTTCTTTCCTTTTATTTAGTTGTTTTTCCTTTTTATTTTCTGGAAGTGGTGAAGATAATGAACACAAATGAAATAAAATGCTTTTATTTCTAATTTGTTTTAAATTAAATACAGCCAACAAAAACAATTTTTATTACAATACTAAATTAGGTTTTAAGCATGTTAAAGAATTCACTGGTCACTTTCGATTTAGTGCTGTACGCCCTCAATTTGAAATTCATTTTACCTGAAATCGAAGAGTTTAAAATTTTTAATGGATACCCATCTTTGTTTATTATGGTTTTGACCTAATAATTATCGATTAACGGTCACTAATCACCACACACTAAAAATTTAAAGTTAGGTATTTATAATCGACAGTGGTTGTAACACAAAGATTGTCAATACCCCTACCATATTATTTGTAATTTAATGTTAACCTCGTTGCACCTATGGATTCGGGATCGTGGTGAGGTGTTGAATTGCGTATTGATTCAGCATTTTCTCCACCTGCCATGATAGCATTTCAAACGATGCCGTGGTATTTTATATTTTTTCTTAAATACAACACCTTGTGGCATTCAAGCCTCAGTCTTCCTGCTTAATTTCGAAAAACAGCAAGGTAGGATTGGATAACTTTGGCGTAGATGGCTGGAATGGAATTCCATATCTTATATATCAGATCTTCATGACGTTTTATCCAATATTTCGACCCCAACAAAGAAATTGAAGAACATACCTTTAATACAATAGCTAGTTAAAAAAATAAAAAATAAACTTTAAACGAATCAACAATAGGACTCAGCCACCCCACCACAAATGAATCAATAGGTTTTCGTTGTTTACCATACATTGGTGTATTATCGGAAAAAGTTAGTAACATTTTTAAACACGAAAGTTTTAGAATAGCTTTTAGAAGCACGGGTTCACTTAAAAACATCAGGACTCAAACACCTCTCAAAACCTAAAGACAAGGTAGACAACTTGGCAAAAAGCGGGGTTAACCAACTCAATTGTAATGACTGTGATATTAAATATATAGGACAAAGCAGAAGATAAATAAAAACGAGAGTTTAAAAAAACTTGCCTAAATCGAGCAAATTTTCTGAATTTAAGGACCATCTAAAAGAAACAAAACATAATTTCAACCCAAATTTAAATACAAGAGTGTTACATAATTTGAACAGAGGTAGAGAACTAGATTGGTTGGAGAAATTTGAAATTAAAAAATGTAAAATTGAACATGGTGATAAATGCATTAATCATATAACAGATTTTGATCTACCTCCGATTTTAAATATGCACATAAATAATATTAAACGTCAAAATAATTAAATTAATTGTTATTATTTTTATAATTATTTAATAATATTAAGGTATCATTCTAATTTTGTATCTTTTATCTTTAATCACTAATTTATAATTAATTTCTTACACTATTTGCTATTATCATATTTATTTGTGTTATAAACTCCCGCTTTTAGCACGTTCAAATTGAGCGACATTAAAAAACCAGCTGTTCATTGGAACGTCGCGTTGGCGGGGGTATCAGCGG